ATTAATGCAGCTCTGAGTTCTCTTCCTTTCCTAGCATTAGTGGAGAGTTTTTTCCGGTCCAACCAGTTGTTAGGCAATTAAATTACAGAAGTAGAATTTGGAGCTGAATATAGTCATCTATTCATGAACAGGATCACTCCTACTCTCAACAAAAACAAACACACACATAAAAAACAAAAAAACAAAAAACAAAATAACCAATTAATTTTGGACAAAAATTAGTAAAGCTAATTAATAACTACTTTTTGTAACCTACTTTGCTTTAATTGCAAGTAGTTATATGATCACTATTCCATCTTTCGGACAATCCTGCAAATCCTTCTGGCAATAAATTATAAAATTGCTTCACAGACCCTACAAAAAGAAAAGTGATTTTTTCATAATGAGTATGCCCTGGTTTTCTTGTACTGGCTGCAGTGTCCAAGCTGATATATTTTGTTATCCCCTAAATGCCAAGCGCCAGGCAGGATAACAACAAGTTCCATCTTTTAATGTCTTTTGGTATGATGCGGCCAGGGATTAAACTACTGTCCTTCCTTTCTCCAGGCGATACGCAATCTAACATATTTTACCTTCTACTATGTTTGGTATGGTAAATTACGCAAATGTGATCTTGACAGTGATGTCATATACTGTGATCACTCTCGATTTTGTCCTCAGTGAGAGAGTTTCCAGATATGAGTCTACTAATAGAAAAATCAATTTTGTAAAATGACCTATTTTATATCAACAACATAAAGTACAGAGTTATATTTTCCAGGTTAAATGATATATGCTGAAACTGGAAGCAGTGCTACAGATTTATTTAATCCCACATCAAGAGAGAAATTTAATGACAAGAAAATTCAGGCCCTGGCTTGTATTGAAACTATGTCACAATTGGTATTCTGCCGTGACACTGAAGAATGCTTGATTCTCATTGCTCCAAATCAGTTATCTAATTCCAATTGATACTCAGAAACTAACATACTTTTTCATACAAAAACTTGCGTATGAAACAATCGGTGATAACCCAGGCATCGATGCTGCAACACTTGCTGCTAATAACTCATTGGAATTGTATACACTCGTAATCGAATATCGGTGATGCTTAGTCACACATTTGAAATCTCATGCTGAAGTGCTCGGTTCCAAATAATAATAAGAGGTATTTAATCTACAGTTAAACCAACTCAAATTTGGAACACTAGTTTACCTCCTAAATCATGTACGGCACATATATAATATTCCGAAATATCGAAATTAATGATAATGCAGGAGAAGCTAAATATCATCCTTTGAAATATATATATTCATCCCAAAAACATATGTCAGAGTTAGACTCTCGGTCTACACTGGGAAACAATCACTGGCTTTGGGATTAATTATAGTAATGCAATCCCAGCAAAAATTGCATCACGCTATATGTACATCAAGGAAAAAATAAGCACAACCTATTTCCACATGAAATGTCAATCTTAAAAACGAATTGTTCTGATCAAATACATTTGTTTTTGTTTACAAAGTGAACTACTCATATTGCAATACAAAAACCAACATCAGGTACCTAATGATGTCATTTAGAACTGTTCTTAGATGATGGTTATTTTGATTTCCCTTTCATCTTTCTCAGTATCTTTGCATCATGCATATGATTCAGTGCATGTGAACTCATGAAGACCTTGGTTAGAATTGGTCTTCAGCAACCCTTGCTTTCCTCCCAAATGAAGATCCTGGTTAGAATTGGCCAAAGATCCAGGTTAGAATTGGTCTTCAACAACCAATGCTTTTCTCCCCCTGGAGATCCAGGTTAGAATTGGTTTTCAGCAACCAATGCTTTTCTCCTCGTGGAGATCCAGGTTAGAATTGGTCTTCAACAACCAATGCTTTTCTCCCCCTGGAGATCCAGGTTAGAATTGGTTTTCAGCAACCAATGCTTTTCTCCTCGTGGAGATCCAGGTTAGAATTGGTCTTCAGCAACCAATGCTTTTCTCCCCCTGGAGATCCAGGTTAGAATTGGTCTTCAGCAACCAATACTTTTCTCCCCGTGGAGATCCAGGTTAGAATTGGTCTTCAGCAACCAATGCTTTTCTCCCCCTGGAGATCCAGGTTAGAATTGGTCTTCAGCAACTAATACTTTTCTCCCCGTGGAGATCCAGGTTAGAATTGGTCTTTAGCAACCAATGGTTTTCTCCCCCTGGAGATCCAGTTAGAATTGGTCTTTAGCAACCAATGGTTTTCTCCCACTGGAGATCCAGGTTAGAATTGGTCTTTAGCAACCAATGGTTTTCTCCCACTGGAGATCCAGGTTAGAATTAGTCTTCAGCAACCAATACTTTTCTCCCCCTGGAGATCCAGGTTAGAATTGGTCTTCAGCAACCAATACTTTTCTCCCCCTGGAGATCCAGGTTAGAATTGGTCTTCAGCAACTTATGGTTTTCTCCCACTGGAGATCCAGGTTAGAATTGGTCTTTAGCAACCAATACTTTTCTCCCCGTGGATATCCAGGTTAGAATTGGTCTTCAGCAACCAATATTGATTATTTACAGACTGCCATCATATAGCTGGAATATTGCTGACCGTGGCGTTAAACCACAAACAAACAAACAAACAAATCAACAACAGTACATTTGACCATCAGGAGCAACATCAGTGTACGTGTGCTAACATTTCACCAGATAGTGGTATCGTAGCCATCTATTAAAAGGGATCAATGATATTTCCTACAGAAACATGGACGTTCGGTACAAGACAATAAAGAATGGATGTGCTTGACATATTTCTCGCTGTATAGGTGACAGGAATGGCACTGCAGTGATGTACAGCAGTAAGAGCGTGCTATCTCGTGGACCACCCTGGTACATCCTCCCTTCCTTCTACATACATGTATGTCGTACATATGTTGGTTTCTCCATGACAGGGAGAAAATGGCTTCCTAACTGATGTACCAGATGGTCTCCCACACACTCAACGGTCTAAATCAGACAGTTTAGGAGAGATGGTCTTGTACATCCGTTCAGCTCTTTTTATGACACAGTAAACATTAACCCAAAACAAGCACACTGGAGTTTACGACTGGCAATGTATGTTTCTTCTTTTCTGTGGCCAAATGTAACTGTTTGCTATTAAACATACTTTTATGGTCATTTTCTAAAAATAAAAACACAAAATTAATAGCAATTTCCTGCACATCTTAAAAAAAAAGGTGAAAAAGCCTTTTCCATATAAAAAAAAGCAGGGTCGACTGCATAATTCTGAATATATCATGAGCATGTGTTTATGAATCACTATCTAACAGTGATGATACCAGGGGTTTGTGAAAAGGTGATTGTACCCTGCCCCACTGGAGCCACCATCACAAACACATGCAAAGGAAAGTCAAAATTGGGAATGCCATTGGACATCAATTTGAAATGGGCAATTCTTACAGATTAGCTAATAGTTGGTTGGAGGTGGCGGGGTAGTCTACAGGTTTAAGTGTTTGCTTGTCATGATGAGTGTCAGGGTTCATATCCTCTCATTCGATCTGTTTGTCACCTTCTATGTTATTGCGGCAATGTTGCAAAAAGTGGAGTAAAACTACAAAATCAGTCTGACGGCTACACAGACTACAAATAACACACAACTCTTAACAGGCAAGATCAGTCTCTCAAACAGACCCCCACAGCATTTATTCAATAAAACATTCACCCCATTCCAGTCTTATCCCTTCTCAGCTCTATCAGCCTGAACTCTTCCTGTTCTCACATCTAGGAAATTAAGTGACTTGAGGGGTCCTTAATATCTCAAAGGTTCTCTTATGGAATTATTTTTATTTAACCTCATACATAACCCTATATCAGGGGCCCTAAGGTCTAAAGCAAGATCAGCAAACCTTAACACATGGGATAGATTTCTTAAATGAAGGGCAGGTACAAGGAGATCAGATATGAACACAATTGTGCAAGATGTCATTATTACTTAATGATCTAAAAAGCATGAGCGTTTACAATAGACTAATCTGCTATATCTGAACTAGGTTAAACTTGTGAATATTTCATTACAATATGAAAAATAATTTAAACTGGATTAAGTGTCGTCAGAGAGTGAGAGAGAGAGAGAGAGAGAGAGAGAGAGAGAGAGAGACTTAACTTGATGTACTGTGTTGAATATACTTCCACTATACACACCATATACATGACCTGTCTGGACTACTATACCCTAGTGCAGTATACACAAAGTATATGGGACAAAATTCCACGGATTCAAATCCCTCCTGTCATAGCTCCTGCTTCAGGACCTGATGTTCCTGTTCTCCTGGGGTTGAGTGAGCCAGCTTGCTGCCCTGCTGAAACACTGCCCCAGTCACCATAGTATTTAGCACTCGCATCCATAAAAAAAAATGTCAATTTGATTTGACTTGCTGACAATTTGTCATACGTTATGACTCATTGAGAATGAAAACCTCCAATTAATTGATCATTACCTAAATCATTGATTACAAATACACATGTATGGGGGTATTACAAAAGCATGTCTTAGAACAAACAATGTGTAAAGATTTTGTAATAAAAATGCATTGTCAGCTCCAGTTTGGCAAATGTTTGCTCGAGGTGCAAAGAGAGGCAATGGTACACAGATTCCATGTGAAGACCAGGACGAAAGTTGCATAACAAACAGACGAATATAAAATCCTTATTGACGACAACTTAAGCACCTACATGGAGAAGCCTTTGCAAATATTGTCAAATACTGATCCCCACAGAACAATATTGTGAGAAGGAAAGGAAGAAATATACCGGACAGAAATCCGACCGAGTGGACATAATCCTCATCAATACAGACTCAGGGCAATTTCCTGATGGGACACCAACATGGCCTCATTATCAGGCACCACAGCGAGAAGAGAAAACATTCTCAACACCTTTCATCTTTGATAAATTGCTCCATCCCACACAAAAAATCGGGGAAGACTTAGCCTCGAAGAACACTGGAACCCTGACAACTAAATCATAACATGAGGCCATTCAATGAAATCTTACCTGGTGAGAAGGTCCTTGGAGTCTTGCTCCAGCTCCAAGAAGGGTCCCAGTCAATTATGTGATCAGTAAAAGTCCCCGATTTGCCTCTTGTGAGGAGAGCCTATCCTGACAGTGCGAAGAGAGGTTCAAGTTTGATGAGGAAGACCCACGTAATGACCAGGGATCGCCTCGGTAATCCAACGTCATTACCCGAGGAGGACAGGCATCGGAATCTGGCTGGAGAAAACGCTCATTTGTCTTCAGCCTGATTATTCTATAACAAATCTCAATCTGTCCATGGAGTCGTTAGCTATGAACGATCACAATACAACGTTGGCACAGCTCAAAGTTAGCCCCTCACAACACTAGACACAATACAACCATTTGCAACTCGCCTGCTTAATGACAGGCTTGTCGCGATCAAAGATTTCAATGATCTACCAACTCGGCTATCCAACTCAGCTGTCAAAGCCAGCACATGTTCATCTGAAACCAAGACGGGTTCAAACCACATTCAAAACATAGAGTTAAAGCTCCATTCAAAACACAGCTATGGAACTCCACAGATGCGCAGTGATTTCAGTTTGTTTTGGTATCAGAGAGCCAGAGAGACCCTGCCAGTCAACGAGACCGATTCTGCATTATGACAACTGCAGCAGCATCACTATCTCCAACCAGATGGGGCAACGATAGATAGATAGACTCACTCAGTGAGCAATTGAGGCCTGGCTAGCAGAGCTTCTTCGGTACAAAGACAACCTCCCAAGCTCGCTGCTTCCCTCACTTCAGCTCAATGCCGAGAAATCCCTCGGGCATTCGTTCAACACAAAACAGCACAGGCTTGAGAAATATAATTGAGCAGTGTTAGCCCGCATAAGGTTGAGGCAATGGATGGCAGTAAGAGCTGGCTTGAATGCGAGGCTGCATGTGCTGCTATTCTGTGCATTTATCCATGTCCAGGATTGCAATGGTCATATGCATAGATTTCAGTGGCAGCTGGCCATTCTGCCCAGACTCATTACATGATGTTCTTTGTTTTATTTATCTGTGTATTTCTTAGGGCAATAATTTACATCCCGAACCTGCGAGCAGCTTTCAAATGACAAGCTGTAGATGATGAGAACCAGTTAATTCAGAGGAAGGTGTTGGTTCAGGGATTAAAGAATATTAAATTGAAAATATTGATCTCCATTCAGACCCATGCAAACAGGATGGCCATACTATAATTGATGATTTCATGTCACAAAATTTATACAGGATCACAATCGACAGAAATGTAGCGAATAATGTTATCGAGGAATCTCAACCTATAATTGAATGCTTAAAAAAACAGAAATCCTTTCATATAAAAAATATTACATATTTCAAATTATATATATTTTTGGTTTTTCCTAATACTTCAAAATTATTATATATAAATTTCATGATCCCAAAAATAATTTTACCAGCCTTATAAATATATTAATGTAATGCCATGAGATAATATTTAGATAGGATGGGTGTAGCTTGGAGAAATAGTCAACCAGGTCACATTGTACAATAATCAGCTAGTGGGAAAAGAAACTCTGCTATGTTGTAATGTCATATCACACAATGCAGGGGAGACAACTGGTCCTGACATGAGATTACGACATCATACCACACAGATGCGGAAGGCATCAGTATGAAAATAGCCACAGGCAACGCTAAACAATATTACCTATCAACACAACAATTCATGCTTAATTCTTATGCCACAATGTCACGATTGATTCGACGTTGTAGAACTTCCTCAGTAGCCATCAATAAATTGATTCTTGTTTATTTCCAAAGAAAATCTATGCAGTGACAAAGACAAATCAACGTTGACCTGCTCTTGGTCTTCGTTTATTCTCACCATTATGTTTGACACTGGTGCTACCCAAGATGGGGTTATTCATCCTCATTGACGGCGCCAACAAGGCACTGATGGTTTTCAAATATCGCATGCATAATACTGTCTCAGTGATGCCTAGATCTTACCAGGACAATTCACCACACTATCTATACTAGGAGTGTATTGATTAAATGATTATTCTTTCAAAGTAGGCTGGTAGATTTTCGCTCTGTTTTATGATGCAAATTACATATCGTCTTTTATGGTCAGCAGAAGAAAGTTCATGTTAACTATTCTGGAAATATACATGTCAGCAATATTTTAGTAGTAAAGCTTTCATCCAAGATATGATTAAAACATTCCAGTTTTTGTTCATTTCGGATGTTTGCACAGGTGCTGCTTTATGGAAGATGGATGACGGAAGATGGAAGATGAATTCTGCGGTTTCTACAAAATACTCATCATGTACTTTAAATGAGAAAAACAACTTCATATGGAGAATGACACCCTTTCATGGATCTTTAAGAACATGCAGCTCTTAGCAGCTGGTCTTTTTATAATTTTAACTTGAACACAAACGTTTAAGTGAATTTGCGTAAATGTGTGCGTGTTTAAGGTTGAAAGACATTATGAAAGGCACAAGGAACCATGTTGAGAGATAAACATTTTGATATCCAACTGTTTTGTAAGAAACAAAATGTCTGGTTAAAGTGGTAGGCAACTGCCACAATAATGTCAAAAACATCACCATTAATGTTACATGTGTTAATGTGAGTTGAGTTTGAGTGAGTGAGTGAGTGAGTGAGTGAGTGAGTGAGTGAGTGAGTGAGTGAGTGAGTGAGTGAGTGAGTGAGTGAGTGAGTGAGCCTTCTTCATCTCTTCACTGAATGAGATGCCACTTTCAACAATATTCCAACCTTACATCAGAGGAGGCAAGGCAAGAATGAGCTTAACGCCATGATATCCCCCAGTCAACAAAAGATTTGATACATTGATTGGTAATACTGAACAGGGGTTAGAGCTCTCCCAAAATGGCCAAAAGAAACAAATGATGGTGAATTTGAATCCCATGTTATCAGTTTTCTCAGCACCTTACCAATCCTTAAAGGCTTCACCGAAGTGGTAAACATCTAACACCTGCATCACATCACGATCACCTCCATGGTTGTTTGATCCTTGGCCGCGTCATACCAAAAGACACTAAAAAATGTAACTTGTTGTTACCCTGCCTGGCACTCTGCATTAAGGGGCTAAAACAAGGACTAGTGAGTTCCGAGTCAGTATACGATTGCATGGTATCTGAGTGCGCTGGCACTATACACGATAAAACCAAGTGGACTATTACAAGAAGCCACTGACGCATGTATGGACATCTCTGTACAAGTGAAATAATCTTGAACGCAACGTTAAACCCAATTTCACCTCACATCAAGTCTTCATGTATCCAAAATACAGTTCAAAGCAGCGTTAACAAAACTCGCTTTCACTAAAAGGATATTTTAAAATTTTATTTGACATGACACTGACATCATAGTTAAACCAAAATAAGAAAACTCAACGTTTCAGTTTCCTGCCTTGACAGACATCTACATCATGTGTTTTTGCAAATCAGTCTTTCAATCTTACTGATGCAGGAATGACATTCCTAAATATATCCCCAAATCTCAAATATCACAGCTCAGCCCTGAAAATTTCATGAGTCTAAAATTACTGAAACACAAGTAGACATTTCAACCATCAATATGAGAGCGATAACACTTGGAAAAGGTCATCATTTCATAGTTTACGACACTGAATAACATAGGCTCAAGTTTTCAATCTATAGTCCCATATGCAATTAATAATGGCACTGTGATAAATACCTCCATTATCAAGTCAGATAAATACAAGCCTGAACCAATGTTGTCATTGAAACTATCGAAACCTAAACATTTCCTGCATTCCAGTATGATGCTCGTTTAAGTTTATTTTTAATTTTTCTAAAAAAAATAAATGTTTTACTTTTTGGTTAATTAATAATCATAGGTTGAAGTTAAAAATAAGAAACCAAATACTGAACAAGAAGCATTTGAGACATTTCTCTTACTTTTGAAACAAGATATATCAATAAAAGAAAAGAACAGCAAGAGACATCTTGTATCTGTCGATTAAAATGAAATTTTTATTCAGTAGAAACTTGAAACATGGGGCATACAAATGAAAAAAATATACAAAAGGTAAGATGAGTCAAATTTTTATCACAAAAGATTAACCTAAAATGTAATTAAAAAACTGTTTTTAACTATACTGTTTTTCGTAATTGTGCAAAAATCTTGAAAAAGTGGTATATCACTAGATTTGAGACAAGAAATCCAGTCAAGGTTTGGTACATTGTATTGCAAACTAAATTGTAGTACTCTTTCCCACAGACTGATGATCGATCCACATTCGCATGGAGATAATTTCACATTTTTTATTCAACTTGGCAGCTTGTCCACTACTGTGTGGTCTATCAGTTTTAAACAATATTTCAGTGAGTGAGTGAGTGAGTGAGTGAGGTTTATTAGTTTTGAAGAATATGCCAGTAATAAACGGGGTTACGTGAGGTAAAATGGGGTTTAACCTCCTGTCAAAGATTATTGCACTTATATAGTGATGTGCATGCACAAGTGGCTGCTTGTACTAGTCCAGACTGGTGCCGATTCTATATTGCTAGCCCACTGAGATACCATGCCGCAGTTTAACATGAAAACCCACTCAGACACAGTATACTGACTCCGTGCCCACCAGTCCTTACTGCTGAGCGTCAGGTAGGGCAACAATAATACCATCTTTTAACATCATTTGGTATGACACAGCCGGAGATCGACCCAAGGAAGGACCTTCTGCTCTCCAGGCAGACGCTCTACCACTAGACCACGGGGGTGGTCAGTTATAAGGGGAGCAAAGCTCAAAGTAATGTGCAGATCATAGACATTGACCACTCTGGTGAAATCCACAAAAGGAGAAAAAACTTAATCAGAGCAAATCTGGAATTCAAACCGAACATTACCGTTTCTCACACCTTTGTGACAAACTCAACATCGTGAATTGCAACACCTTAGACACAGGCCACCCATGCCATCAAGGACATTATAACCCAACTAATCTGACTTTCTCAAAGACAAAGGAGTCACTGAGATGAACACAAGAGTACAAGGCAGCTGGATATGCTATGCACTAGTTAACTACAGCCCCCTGTTGGTAGACCACAAAACACGAAGGAGGAAAGTTACAACACAGAATGAGGGCATACACAACAATCATCGGAGACTTAACCGTGAGAGTTAGCGGAGCGTGTGTGATGTAGACTCCAGCAGCACGTGTGGGAGCCATCATCACCTGTTCCTCACATGCTGGATCCCCGTAGGTAAGCCTGGCAGGAAATACTCTCCGCACTTGCTTAAATACTAATATGTACAATAGGAAACATACTGACTGCTCATTAACTCATTTAACACTAATAGAGAGGCACGCTTATAACATTACCCTTGCATCAGGGATTCACTTTGCCAGATTGTCTGACATTATTTTAAGCACATTCTCATGCAAGATTTTTAACACTGCTGTCCATGACATGATATTGCACAAAATGACTTAAGCTGTTTCCACTGTGGTTCATCAGGTATTTCTTTGGAAAACTGACAGATGATTTCAAAGGCAAAGCTAACCAATTCCATGGACAAGGTTAACCAACTCCTTTCACAAAGGTAATTAATTCAAAGGACGATATTAACCAATTCCATGGACAAAGCTAATTAATTCTATGGACAAGGTTAACCGATTCCAAGGACAAAGCAACCTAATCTATGGACAAGGTTAACTGATTCCAAGGACAAAGCAACCTATTCTGTGGACAAGGAGAACCAATTCCAAGGACAAAGCTCAAGCTCACTGATTCCTATGGATAAGGTTAACCGATTGCATGAGCTGATTAACAGATCTGAATGTCTTCAACATGTTGGACTTCTTGCTCTGGAAGCAGCCCTTCTGCCCTGATCACACAACGCTGCTCTTTACTGGAATAAAAGAAATGAATAGGTGTGCAGGGGTTAACATTTCACCTGTTCCTCACCTGTTGTAGATCCTCGTTACTATTACCCCACACCTGTAATTGTAACACACCCTCCCTAAGCTTACACATTGTGGCATTCCAAACATGAAACCTCTCAAGGAATTCACACCTTGTAATTGCTGAGCCGAAGGTGATAATCACCTTCTTACTTAGCCAATCTGTTAGGATTAAAGTATTTAAAACATATTACAGTTTTCACACCCAATTAACACTAAGCTTCGACAGGAACTAGAAATTCCTGTATTTGACAGTATAGGTCTTAAATGTATTACTTTAATGGGCTTTGTTACATTATATTAATATGGTAATGTTTGTTTAACCTCTTTGAAGCTTAGTGATAATCAATATTTGATAATTTCAGATGTTTTTCTGTTTGGAAAAATACAGTAATAGATTTAAAGAAATTAAAGTATTCTCTAATTCTGGAAACCTGTGTTAAGCATGATACCATTACGAAATAGTCGGTTTAAGTGGCATTTGTTGCAAGATGTCATGATCTTGGATGATCACAGTCAAACCAGATTCCTTGGTGCTTATGTCTACCTGTGATTTCAGTGAGGGTGCCACCAGTCGAGGTAATCATACTAAAACTCAAATATCAACGTTTTGTGTTAACCTTCTCAAGACTCAAGACATGTAATTGTCTGGGATCCCTGGTACTCATGGAAACGTCAATACAAACTTTCTTGCATTCCGTGTGTCTGGCACATTCTGAACATCATGAAATGTCTTGGAAGTCAAGAACCCTCAAAATTCAATCTGGTCTGCACGATTAGATGGTAGATTGAAGTCTCTCTGTAATCATACAAACATAGGCCCACATTGGTGTACAGGCCTACCCTGCAGGTTAGGCCTACATGGAAGTATAGGCACATATTAATGTGCTGACCCATCCTGGAGTAAAGGCCCACCTTGGAGTATAGGCCCACACTGGAGTATAAGACCACCCTGGTGAATAGGCCCACACTGGAGTATAGGCCCTCCTATTTGTATAAGGCCACACTGGAGTATAGGCTCACACTGGAGTATAGGCCCACACTAGTGTATAGGCCTACACTGGTGTCAAGGCCCACACTGGAGTATAGGCCCACACTGGAGTATAGGCCGACACTGGAGTATAGGCCCACACTGGAGTATAGGCCCACACTGGAGTATAGGCCCACACTAGTGTATAGGCCTACACTGGTGTATAAGCCGACACTGGAGTATAGGCCCACACTGGAGTACAGGCCCACACTGGAGTATAGGCCCACACTAGTGTATAGGCCTACACTGGTGTATAAGCCGACACTGGAGTATAGGCCCACACTGGAGTACAGGCCGACACTGGAGTATAGGCCCACACTGGAGTATAGGCCCACACTAGTGTATAGGCCTACACTGGTGTATAAGCCGACACTGGAGTATAGACCCACACTGGAGTACAGGCCCACACTGGAGTATAGGCCCACACTGGAGTATAGGCCCACACTAGTGTATAGGCCTACACTGGTGTATAAGCCGACACTGGAGTATAGGCCCACACTGGAGTACAGGCCCACACTGGAGTATAGGCCCACACTAGTGTATAGGCCTACACTGGTGTATAAGCCCATACTGGTGTATAAGCAGACACTGGAGTAAGGGCCGACACTGGAGTATAGGCCCATACTGATGAATAGGCCCACACTAGTGTATAGGCCTACACTGGTGTATAAGCCGACACTGGAGTATAGGCCTACACTGGTGCCAGGGCCCACACTGGAGTATAGGCCCACACTGGAGTACAAGGCCACACTTGTGTAAAGGCCCATACTGGTGTATAAGCCCATACTGGTGTATAAGCAGACACTGGAGTATAGGCCCACACTGGAGTATAGGCCGACACTGGAGTATAGGCCGACACTGGAGTATAGGCTCAAACTGGAGTATAGGCCCATACTGGTGTATAAGCCGACACTGGAGTATAGGCCCACACTGGAGTATAGGCCCCCACTGGTGTATAGGCCCCCACTGGAGTATAGGCCCATACTGGTGCATAGGCCCACACTGGAGTTTACGTCACCACTGGTGTATAGGCCCATGATAGAGTTTAGGCCCACACTGGACTATAGGCCCCCCGTAATGTATAGGCCCAAACTGGTGTATAAGCCCCCACTGGTGTATAGGCCCCCACTGGTGTATAAGCCCCCACTAGTGTATTGGCCCACACTGGAGTATAGGGCCCCACTGGTGTATAGGCCCAAACTGGTGTACAAGCCCCCACTGGTGTATAGGCCCCCACTGGTGTATAAGCCCCCACTAGTGTATTGGCCCCCACTGGAGTATAAGCCCAAACTGGAGTATAGGCCTAAGGATGTATAGGCCCAACTCACTAACAAGGGACAGGCTGGTGCAGTGGGTGGTGTCTTGGCTGGGTGTGACAATACAAAAATGGAATACTGAGTTTAGACTCCATGATTTGACAAGCATTTATCTACAAATTAAAGTATTTAAATACTTTTTAAGACTTTTGAAGATTCCCTTCATTTTCAGAAACATTTTTGAAACATTTCATATCAGTGTCTGAATAAGAGACAGGTCCAAGGCTAATTTACCCTGTTCACCAATGCAAACTATACCTTCAAATATGATTCAAGTCATCCTCTATCTCACTAAAATACCTTCAAACAACCAACCATTCACAAAACATAAGTAATATTTTATATGTGAAAAAGTAAAATGCTGGGTCACTATTCAACACTTTCACACCTATGTCTTCTTCTCCATCACCTGGCCGACATATGTGTCTCTCCTCATTAAGCTGGCCTTATCCCCCCTTCTAACATACACATCCCTGCTTCTCGACTGCTAAGGGATCAAGCACCTGCAAGGAGCCATGAAATTGACCGTCAAGCCTACTGTGCAGTGCCCTCCAACTGATGTTAACTAATTGATACAAATAGCAACCTCCCCATGCTTCCAATCTCCTTGAAACATCTTTAATGTGCTTATGTAACTGTTTTACATCCGGTGCTAGTTGGCATGCGGCTGAAACGTACCATAATTAAGTAAGTATATTCACAAGTGCTCAAAAAGCATCTGAAAATAATGCCTAAGAAAACAGCCTTGTCCCCAGCAATCAGCAAATCATCGCTGAAAACATAACCTCCAGATCAACACACAGCCCAATCATTTCAAGATGCCCTATGAATCAAAGAATTCAGGCCAGAAATAGAAACCGCATTCACCTTACTTTCAACAAGACTGAAGAAGAAATTGTGATATATTCTCCACAAATGTCATCACTGAAATCAAGATAAACATATGGATATTGTCATCAACAAAATTGTAAGATGTCTTTAAACAATTTATTAATAACACATACAAAAGGATCCAGGCCTGGGCCCACTTGCACAAAGCTATCTTAGCGCTAAGATGATCGTAACTCCCATACTTTAACATATAGGCTTACGATAGTCTTAGCGCTAAGATTGCTTTGTGCAAGTGGGCCCAGAAATTGGCACAATTCTAATTTAATGCTACCCCAAGATATAAAGGTTGAAACTCAGAATGTATGATTAACCTGTCGTGGACAATCTGAGAATATGAAATGGCTTTCTGCTGTGATATTAGTCTGGCGTCGCTTTCATTATTTATGAATGTACACCATACCTACATTGAAACCAACCTTGACAAGACAGAAACACAATGTTTGCCCGGACAAATCTCAGTTTCACTGAAGAGCTCATTAATCTCATCCCATAACCAACCCTTGACCAAAAGATGAAAATACATCATCAGTGATTACGACAAAAGCGAGCATTATTATTCCAAATCAAGTAGCAATCCATCCGGTCTTCAGCATACCATTATCAGTTTGGAGGGAAATAGTTGCAATCTGATTTGGTTTAGTACCAATGGTAATGAAAAAATATGGAAAATGCCAAGGTCTGTTAATTGCTTGAGAGAAATGGCTGTCATTGCAGAGTGAAATAGTCTTGCTGGTTGAAAGACTTGGCGCATCATTCATCATTATATCTCGTAGCCCACAACTGTAACGTGATGTAGTCCAGTGTACCATGTTCCATGATCACAAGTTGAGTGAATCCTTCTTGAAGACAGCTATACTTCTATAGAGATGGACTGAGGCCATTCAGCCTGACCTCTCACTATGAAGGCAGAACACAACTAGCTGAAATCAATGACCACTCAAGAATAAACACATGGTAATAAGAGCGACTACTTGAACTATTCATGGGACTAATTTAGCCTCCCACAACATTATTTCGGTCTTTAATAGGACAATTTTTGTCCCAGCTGTTACAGTGAAGCAG